AATTTGTATTTGCTTGGGCCACTTTGCTTAGTTATTAAAGGAAAGGTAGTCCTAGAAGGTAAAAGGACATGGAAATCCTTTGGTTATAGGATAGGGATAAAATTCTATAAGCTTTTAGACTGAAACCATGTCAAGATAAAGAAAGAAAAGAAATAAGGCTACCTGTAAAAGAAGGAAGCAGATTGGCAGAGAAAACAATATCCCTTCCACTAAATAATCAATTTACAGAATTACAGGCATGTCCAAGTGATGATTTATGTGTGAGGACAAAAGAATCTTCAGACATGCAAGAACTTGGAAAACTTATCACCCACAGACTTGAATACAAGACACCAAATGAAAAAGTACTTGAAGAAAAGGAGAGGATATGGTTTCCTAGGAATAGTGGTAAGTAATACACATGATAAAACTGTAGGGAAAGTTTAAAAAGTTATTAGTAATATGCATATTAAATCAAACAAATTTGTAGGAATACAAGGGCAAAAAATAAAAAAGGGCACATGGAACTAAAATTCCAAGTTATTTCAACAAAATATAGAAAATAAAAGTAAGAAGTCAAAATCTCCACATTCTTATGAAATAGGATATTTTGCATAGTAGTTAATTTTTGACATTGACAGAGAAATATGGGTTAAAAACATGCTTTTTCAAAATTAGAGAGCGGTCCCGGAAGCCAAAACAGAAAACTTGACATATTCTTCAACAGAGAGGAAAATGAAGAAATATTTTGAATACTATGAAAACATAAAACTCAAACGCAATATATGATCTGAGCTATCTAATGTGGTAGCGACCAGCCACAAAGGGCTATTTGAATTTAACTTAATTAAAATAAGCTCAGCGTGGCAGTAGACACATACAATCCTAGCAACTTGGGAGGCATACATAGGAGGATCAGCCCGGTGAAAGGCAGTGGCAAGACTGTCCCCAAAACAAAATTAAAAAACAACAAAAAGGACCTGGGGCAAGGCTCAAATGGTAGAACTCTTGCTAAAGATGTGAAAGACCCTGGGTTCAATGCAAAAATAAATTAATTAAATACAAATTCAGTTGCTCAGTCACACTGGCTACATTCAAGTATTCAATAGCTCCCCACATGGCTAATTATGACCAGATTGGACATTTATTTTATTTCAGAAAGTTCTAGAAGACAACACTAATAGAGTAAAATGTAAGTTAACAAATGAACCCATGTAATATAAGAACTTACTTATATTAATCACATATATTAAATTATGAATTAATTAAACTGGCTAGGGGCTCTCACTCTGTGTTACTTCACTGCTTGAACAAGCATATTTTACTCTTATAACCAGTAAAAGTGAATAACATACTTTTCAAACAAAACCAGTCAATATCTTTCTTTCCTTCGCTTCCTTCCCTACCTCACCTCCCTTTCGGTATTGGGACTTGAACTCACAGGGCCTACAACTCAAGCCACTACACCAGCCTTTTTTTTTTTTTTTGTGAAGGGTTTTTTTCAAGATAGGGTCTAGCAACCTATTTGTCCAGGCTGGCTTTGAATCGCAATCCTGATCTCTGCCTCCTGAGTAGCTAGGCTTGTAGGCGTGAGCCACCAGACCTAGCTGAAGTGATTTTTAACTAGTGCAGATTTACAGTGCACACTGGTGGCAGTGAACAAAGATGGCAAAGTATGTGTTCAAAACTTAGAAAACTTTCTGGGAAAAGCATGATATCACCAGCTGAGATGGAAATCTTTGCTGACATTTGATCATTTCAAACTGTTTCTTGAACTAAGGCGATTCCCTGGGCAGGGGCTGTTAACATGTCTTTCCATTTAAATTTATACAGTTGATAACAGATCAAATTTCAGAAAGGGTAACTTCACGCCCTTCAATTTCCCAACACAAGAAAAATCTGGTGATGGACTGGTGGAGTGGCTCAAGTGGTAGAGTACCTGCTTAGCAAGCATGAAGCCCTGAGTTCAAACCCCAGTGCTGTCAAAAGAAAATCTACTGAGAGTTATAGTAAGTTCCTGAATTTTCCTGGTGATTCCATACAGTTAAGTAGAAGTTCTGATAGCCAAGTTCAACAATAAAGTTAGATATACTGCACAGAATAACCTCCATTTCCTCCCTGAACTGGAGGTGGTGGAATAGCATTTATATCTTTGTTGAAAGCATACCAGGACTGGGAGTGTGGCTCAAGTGGCAGAGTGTTTGCCTAGCAAACATGAGGTCCTCAGTTCAAACCCCAATACCACTAAATAAATATTAAAAGAAAATTAATAAAAGTATACTTCACTCAATATAATCTCAGCAACTGAAACCGATAATTTCTCCCCTCACCCATTTTTTGGGAATTCATGAAAATTTTATCATGGTATGCCACTTCCATACTTCGGTAGACCAAAAAGTTAAAGAGCACATTTTTCATGAAAATAAAATATAAAGATAATAAGATTCAAGCATTTTATAATACTAATGTTTTTGTGGTACTGGCATTTGAACTCAGGACTTCATGCTTGCTAGGCAGACGTTCTACCTTCAGCCCTATACTATTGTTTTCCATTAAACAAAAATATCTCATTTCATTCATGCACTTTCAGTGTTATCCATAAAAAAAAAATTCTTTTTCATCCAGAAAGAAAATTCTATGAAAAGCATACCCAGTAATAATTATGTTTTGATGCAAAATAAGTCTCTCTTTTTGGGTATTTTTCTTTTATTTGAGACATAATTTCAAGTCAGTATTTTAAAATAAACTTGTAAATGGAGTATCCTGAGTCGGGGGTGGTAAATTAATTCTTTCAGGCCACAAGGGTCCCATTGAGTCAATTAGTGCTCTGGGTGCTGACCAGGCCTATCAACCTTAAAGTGATAGTTTGCCTTTTAAAGATGCTTTTACTTTTTCATTCCTCCAAAGACTATTATGTGTTGCTTATTTCAATTAGTGGAGAGTGAAGAGGCCAAGTGTAGAAAAGAGGAGTCTTCCAAATTTTGCCATTTACAAACTTGAGCTACTTAAAGAAAACTTGAGCCAAATAAAACACAATGCCTCTCCCAAACCTGGCAGACAGCCTAAATTCACATCCAAAAAAGCAGTTCAACAAGAGCAGCAACTTAGAGGAGTTTTACTAATCTTACGTTTTAATAGACTACAATAAATCCATTATATTCATCTTTTCCCACTAGAAGCTGTTATCATATTACCTTCTCTTGATTAAAATACTTCAGTCCACTGGGCACCTCTGAATTTCGATTAACCGTGCTAACACATAATTAATGTGTTGATGTGCAAAACTGGAATTCTCTGAAGAGAACCCTGAGATACCTTTGGGTGCTATTCTGGGAACTTCACACAGCCTATCACAATGGTGTCAGGGGACACCTTGTCCCAGATCAATGGGCACACAGATGAGTAATTCTTTGTACTATGGACATTTCCAGTGTGTAAGTAAAGAAGCCCTAATCAAACGCCTAACCTAGAAAGTCAATCAAATAAAGAACAATAAGCTGAATTGGGGGAGGAAAGAAATCCAGGGTCTCCCCAGAAAGATAACAGACAGGTGCTGAAGTTATTTGAACAATCGCCAGTTTGCATCTGAACCCATTTCTAGCAACAGAGCTATTGTCTCAAAAACATTTTATATTTAGCTATCTATTAAATCACAGGCAAATTTTTATTACTGCTTAAACAGAATCAGGCTCAAATTTCTGTACTTTTTTTTTTTTTGCTCTTTAAAAACAAAATTCTAGACTTGAATGATAACATTCAGTACTTGCAGCTGTTGAAGTGTTCTCTAAAAAAAAAAAAAAGCAACACGCCAAGGGGAGATATATGTAGTCAGCTTTTCTTTTTCTTGATCTGTCATTCAATATTCAATCACTCATTAAAGGTCAGTAAAGTTTCCTTTCTTAAACAAATCCTACAGTAGACGTTAAATAGAATGCAAATACTTTACACTTTCAAAGGGGATCATGAAAGAATCTCCATGTACTGAATAAATAAGCCATCTGTGACTCAGGCCTCCCTCTATCGTGTTTTTAGGCTGACCCACTTCTTCACAGGCAGCGTGGTTCACAAAATCTCACTTCTAAGGGGCAGCAATAACTGGTCTGTGCCTGCGCTGAGTTTGAATCCAACAGGGTAAAAGGACACGGGTCTTCATTTAAAATGATGCTTCCTCTAAAAAGAACTTCAATTACCAGCCTTAACCAGAAGCAATCTTTTCCCCAAGAGAAGAGCAAATCAGGTCTGCAGGGGAGACCCGAGGGCAAGCTCAAAGGATTAAGAAATCATCAAGTATAAACACACTGGGTGCAAGTGGCTTTGTAGATCAAACACCAGGTTTGCAGGCGGCATACGGGAGAGTCCGTGGGAGCTTCCTTCAAGGTAAGCAGTCCTGCTCCAGAAAGCTCTAGGGACAGCTCGGAGGTGGCAAAGCTTAGTGTCCCCAGGCGCGGGCCAGGGACCTGGCCCCTAGGCGGCCCCTGCCCGGCCGGGAAGGCAGAACTTTGCAGTTCACCGGCAGCAGCCTGGAAACCGCCGGAGACTCACGTCCAACTCCCCATTTTGGGATTTGGAAGATTATTTCTTGGTGGGGGGGGCAGGTTGGGGGAGGGGAGGACGTGAAAGGACTTAAAAAAGGGTGGAGAGGGGCTGAGGCGGTCGATTGGCATCCCACGCGTGGCGGCCACAAAGGGAAGGGCGTCGCGCCTCTCCTGGGTTCCCACGGGCAGGCCGGGGATGGGCGAGGCCGGCCGGCGGGGGCGCGCGGCAGGTGACAGCCGCGTCGCCGGTCCCCGGGACAGAGTCCCAGCCTCCCCGCCCACCCTCGGCCTCGTCTACACCGCGTGCTGTCCTGCAGGCGGTGTGACCTGGAGCTCACAATGGTCTCCAGCCCGGGGCGAAGCCACCGCGGAGCCGAGCGGCCGAGAAGTCCCCGCGCCCCAGGAGCCGGCGCCCGAGCGGGAGCCCGGAGGGGTGCGCGGTCCCCACCCTGTCGCGCCCGGTGGCGCCAGAGCGCCGCTCCCTACCCTTTGGTATGTTCTGTCTCCTCTTCATTGTCCCCGTCTATCCCGCACGTGTCCTGGTCATCCAGCTCCAGGCTCTGCTGGCTGGCCGCAGACTCGCTGTCCTCCGCCATCGCGGCGGCGCCGGCTGGGGAGGCGGCGCTCGGAGCAGTAGGCGCGGCGCGGCGCGGCGAGGCGGGGCGGGCGCGGTGGCAGCTCCCTCTAGTGCCGCGTGCGGTGCCGCTCCGAGTTGGGAGAATGCCGCCTCCGCGCGCGCCCCGCCCACCCCGCGCCCCGCCCCTATCTGGCCACGCCCACACCCTCGCGCCCAACCACGCCCACCTCGGCAACGCTCACTTCGGTCTGCGCGGCCACGCCCATCACGATCGGCCACGCCCATCCCAGTCCCGCGCCAGGGAGCGGGGCGGGGCCTGTGCTTTTCTGCGGGTGCTGCCAGGTGGTGGAGTAGGTGGTGCCGCGGGTTCTGCATCCTGAAGCCTACACGGTCCTCTGCCCCGGGGACTCAAGACCTTCAGGTGCAGAATAGCAACGCCATGCGTCGGCATTTTGGAAGCACAGGCTGCGCGGTTTTACATTTCCACGGGTTCAAGGACTTCTGCAGGGATTTTTATTTTATGCCAAGTCCAGTGATTTCCGGAAGCTCTCCCCAGCTCCTCACACTTCATGTATCTATATCTGTCTACTACATTATCAAGCCAAAGTCAACGTCAAAGTCACAGCAGAGTGCCTCCAGCCTTCCCAGTTCCAAACATCCTCACAGCCCTAAACTCTCCACAGAAAAACTCTGGAGCTGTCTCTATACTGGACGTGATCAGCTGAGACCAGAATAAACATCTATAGGGTAATGGGGCCGTTATCCAAACTGAGAGACTGGACAATGTCAGGTCTTCTCCAAAGTGAAGGTCGTGACCTAGACCTCCAAGCAAACGTGTGGTAGGTAGCAATTAGCCATGAGTGATGAATAAGGCAGGATAGATTGATGAGGGGATGGGGAAATTACATTATTTTAATAAATAGTAAAAGGACCAGACTCAGACATTGAAACTAAAAAGAAAAAAAACAAAACTAAACTAAACTAAAACTGCCTCCCATCTACTTTTAGATGTTTAAGATAACAAGAACCGGGCCGGTGGCTCTCGCCTGTAATCCTAGCTGCTCAGGAGGCTCAGGAGATCATGAGGATCAAGGTTTGAAGACAGCCCAGGGCACATAATTCAGAGATCCTATCTTGAAAAAAAAAAACCATCACAAGAAAAGACTGGTGGAGTGGCTCAAGGTGTAGGCACTGAGTTCAAACCCCAGTACCAGAAAAACTCCTGAGCTCCTGGGATGGGTGAAAGTTCTAAAGCACACCTATTGTCACTGTGATTTGGGTGAGCATGGATGACCCCTCCCTGTTTTAGCAGCCACCTCAGCCACCCTGATCCATTATCTTTGACCACGTACATTTCCTAGAATGTACTTTCTACAAGAAAGTATAAGATTAAGAGATGGGACCACCATTTTGAGTCTCAACTCCCATTTCCTGCATGGGATACAGGAAATGTTTCTCTTTTTTCTCCATTTCTCCCCACTCTTATCGTGTTATTCTAAATTCCTTTCCTAATAAACGTAACCATTACTTTTACTATATTTTTGGATCTTGCCAGTAGCAAGAACTGAAGTTATTTCCCAGTAACATGTGGACTTGATTGAAATCATGGTGAGTCTTTCTCTGCACACCAAAGAGGAGGAAAGGAGGCCCTCTACAGGCTTGCCAGATAACAGAAAGTGAGGTTTAGAGTCTATTTGTTGTTTTGTTCTTTATACAACAGCCCTGTACTTTCCTGAAGTGTTCAAAGGTCCTGTCAGACCACCGGAAGTCTGTGAGGTAGTTTTACCCAGGCAATGCTGAGTTATCAGAAACTGTACAATGAGGAAAAGGAGACTGAAAAATCACCTGGAGTTTTGGGTGTGGGTCTTTTATTTGCAGAAGGTATTGGGAGCATTTTGTGTTTCTTTTTTATTACCACGAGGGAGACTATGTTCTTAAAATGCAATGAGATTGAAGTATCTAAAGACAAAAATTGCAGAGTGATTTCAAAGTCCATTATCTGTTTGATATTGATCCAACTTCTGTAAGAACTGCGAATGGGCCAAAACCAAGGAAATACAATATTACCTTTAACAGTGGCAACTGCTTCTGAGACAGTCATGTGTGGCCTCTAGTTTCAAACTTTAGGATAAAGACTGGATGAAAGAGGCATACACTGGATAGACAGGAAGACAGCTCAACGCCAGCACAGGGTTTATTATTTGGGAAGAGCCCTGTGGAGGGGGTCCCCAGCAAGAAGGCTGGAGCCCACCCTGCTTACAGACTAGGGGGTAGGTATAGGAGTTGGTGGAGAAGTCCCAGGAAGGTCACTGGATAGGTCACTGGGCCTCAATGGCCCTCTGGCCCTCCCAAGGTAATGGCTTAAGGGCAGATCATTTCTTCTAGCTCAGGTTTCTAGTAAACGGCTAAAAGTGGATGTTTATTTTTCTTTAGGGCTAGGTGGGGAATTTCCAGTAAGCCACCTTCAAGGGTGAGGGGATCTAGTTCTAACATGGCTGCCCTTTTTTTCATCCTCACAAAGATAGATACTGACCAGTGGGGGTTCCTGCTATTCATCTCTATGAATATTAGTAGTTGGATAACTGTAACCTGCTTGGGTAACCACTAGGAACATGACCAGGAGTTAGCCCATCAGATCAGCCACCATAACTGTCGGAAGGATTCTCTCAGATGTTTAAAAATACAAGGCAAAGGAAGCTGAGTAGACATATATTTATTTGAATTTTCATGAAGTATTGGCTGAGAACCTCTTTTTTAAAAAAAAAGTACTAAGAAAACAATCCTAGAGAAGTAAAATTGAGGCAGGCTAAATTAGGGAAAATTCAGGACTCATCGAAAAAATATTACCTCTTAGATTACCATGCTTTGGCTCAGGAACCACCTTCACCTGGCTGGGAACCAACCATGCCCCTCCCCACTCATTGATTATTGGATGAGAATCACCTTGTTCTCCTCCCCACCCCCCCCCAAAGGTTATCCTAGGTTTTAAAAGTACGCGAAGAGCAGAAACACTCTGTCTAGGGAGACAGGTTCCACCTGGGCCCCCACCATACTTCGCTTTGTGTTTTCCTTTCCTAACTTTTAATAAACTCCATTTACACCCATGTGTCCTGAGACAGATTCTTCCCTGCTGGAAACAAAGAATTTGGATGTCTTCTGATCATAGGCTGCATCAGCGCTGTTAAAAAAATGAGAGTGTCAAAAAATCAGTTAACATCAGAAAACAATGACAAACAGGGAACATCTGTTCCCCCAAATGAAAAGAGGTTGCTCAGACATTTGTACAGTACTGGATTGAGTATTATATAATTCAGATGTTTCTCAGCATTAATATTTTGCAGGAGGAAAAGGTTTGCCAATGAAGAAAAGGTTTGGGGATTCCTGAATCCTTTTGTCATATAAAGAAACTCACTGTGCTCCTAAAAATTTTTTACTTCTGGCTTAATCCCAGAATTTAGAGAATTGAAGCCAAATGGGATCTTCTGGAATATCAAATCCAAAATTTATTTAGGGGACAAAAGTTCTGTAGGTTATTTCCTATTCTGTCTGGTTCATCTTCTATGATCTAAGATCACAGTTGTATAATTGGTCTTGTTTTACTTAAGTTATAACTTTAAAAAAAAGTTTACTATCCGAACCATTATTAAGTATATACTTTGGTTAGACAACAATGTGAGTACACTTCACATTTTCATTTTGCAAAACTGCATCTCTGAACCCATTAAACATCTCCCCATTTCCCAGCTCTTTCCAGGTTCTGGCAATACCATTCCACTTTCTGTTTCTGTGAGTTTGACTACTCTAGATACCCCACATAAACTGCTTGTCTTTTTGTAACTGGCTCATTTCATGTAACATAATGTCTTGTTTAAGACTATATGATATTTCATTGTATGTATATTGCATTTTGTTTATACATTCACCCATTCATGGACATTGGGCTTCTTTCACTGTTTCACAGAGGTTCACACTACTGCTATGAACCTGCCTGGATGTACAAATATCTATTCAAGATCTTGCTTTCCATTCTTTTGGATATATGTGCAGAAATGAAGTTGGTGGATCATATGGTAATTCTGTTTAGTTTTCTGAGGAGTGGCCATATTTCCATAGCAGTTGCATCATTTACATTCTTACTATAGTATTCTATCTTGCCATATCTTTTCCAATGTTTGCCATTTCCCTCCTCTTCTCACTTTCTTTCTTCTGGCAGTAGTAATCCTAATAGGTATGGGGGATATAGCTTCTTAAAAAAAAAACAAAACAAGGACTTTTGCATAATCCTATTTCTGCTTATAAAATACATTTTTAAGGCCAAAATGATAACAAAGTTTTAAAAGCCACACTCACACACAGAAATATAATAGGGATAGTAATATATATATATATATATATGTCTGTGTGTATACACATCAGAATGAGATATGCAGTGACAAATATACAGATGTCTTTTTTTTTTTTTGTTTTGATACTGTGGTTTGAACTCAGGGCCTATACCTTGAGCTACTCCACCAGCCCTATTTTTGTGATGGATTTTTTTTTGAGATAGGATCTCTGAATCATTTACCCTGGGCTGGCTTCAAACCTTGATCCTCCTTATTTCAGCCTCCTGAGTAGCTAAGATTACAGATGTGAGCCATTGGTACCCAGCTCAGATGTCTTCATTACAATGAAGAAAAATATATAGGTCATTCAATCTTTGGAAGAATATTATACATTAACTGTAAAATAATTCTACATAGTAATTGACCTCAAAACATATTTAAAAATCCTGATTTTCTTCTCCAAATACTATAATGAGAATGGGAAGTGGTGTTGGGGAAACTAGTCTTATGGAGAGAAGCAATTAAGGGGTTTTCACAATAGGTCTCTGCAGATGTCAAAAAAAAAAAAACCAAAAAAACTCATGCTCTTAATACTAGAAATACAAGGATTCATTTTGAACCTGTACATGTTTACCAATCTACCCTTGTCTATGTCTTCACAGAATAGCAAGTATTAGATATAACTGCAGAAAGATTTAAGGAACTAGAAAATGGAATTTGAATAAAAATGGGCCAGAATGCAGCTTAGAGAAATAAAAAGAAAATGTGAAGAAATTCAG